CTATAGCGTTCTGCATCTGTTATTTATTCACTACTTACAGTTTGGATGTTGCAGAAGTTGAAATAGTTTCTGTGCTCACTTTTCTCTACTGAATTGAACATAGACAATTGAAAACAATAAAAACTTAAGAATCTGCTTATTGTATTGGTTAGTACTCAGCGATATATAGCAGTGCAATACAGTAGAATACAGAAGTGCAAATCCCATAAGTTGTCTGAAAATTTCATGTTTTCAATGAATGTTTTAATCATTTATTTAATTTTGAGTTCAGAATTAAAAGTTAAATAAAATATAAAGGTAAAAATATAAAAACATGAATGTTGGTATAATTGTTTTTTTCTCTCCCAGACAGATATTGATTATGTAAATGTTGTTGTAGCCAACCTGGAGAAAGAGTAAGTTCTTCTTAATTATGGAAATGAAAATATTCTATTTACTATTATCTCTTGGCTTTTTGCTAAAAGAAAACACCTTCTTTTACAGTTCATTTTTTCTGTGGCGTTCAGTGTTCACTGGACCACCTATCATTGGTCTTTTATATTATCATAAAGTATGTTTATCAAGTTATCTGATGGGATACATTGGTGTATTTCATTTTGGAAAAGACTTGAATGTTGTATATATGTAACACAATCAAACAACAATTTTTAATCTTGAAGACAGTGAATAGAGAGTCATATGAGATTACTTAAATCTTTCACCCTCTGTTTAGCAGGAAAAATAATTTCTGCTGTCAGGGCAGCTAGTCAGGTAGCCGTTTCAAACCTCAGTGCTAAACTATGTCTAAAAATATGCAAAGGTTTATTAACAGTTTATTGTGAGTGGGGTGCATAGCAGGTAACAGATGGACAGCTTAGTAAGTTGCAGATACCATTCGTTTTTATAATATTGCCTTTGTAGTTTTAAGAGCAGTATCATGAAATTAGTCCTGATATGGGTTTCTTCATTGAAATGTATCTCTTGTTGCCCCCAAAAGACATATCTTTTACTTTAAAAGGAAAGACAAAAGAGAAGCAAAGGTACTTGTTTAAGATAATGTGGCTCTACCTTTGTCTATCAATATGCTGAAACCAGAGATTTTTTTAAATGTATTTTTATGTTATACACATAAGTTGATCGTTAAGATATAAAATCCCACAGAACTTAAATAACTCAGCCAACCTTTCTCATGATAGATTTTCTAAAGAAATCAGTTCTGGCTTGGTGGAAATAATATCACCTCCTGAAAGCTATTATCCTGACTTGACAAACTTAAAGGAGACATTTGGAGATTCTAAAGAAAGAATAAGGTAAGCCTGTGCACCCTTGTGAGTATAATAGGTAATAAATGTCATCCTTGTTTATCGAAGCTTAACTCATTTTAGGGTTGAGCTAATTAGTTGAGAGCTAATGACTTTTTGATTATTTTATTGCAAATTCTGTGGAGTTTCTGATGAGAGGTTGAATTTGGTAAACCTAATGAATTTTATAACCGTGCTGCTCTCTGTTGTTATAACTTTTCTTAAGAGTATATTCAGTATAACTCAAAAGTTAGTCCAGATAGAAATCTCATGTCTGTATGTAACATAAATGAGAACAGATCCAATAAAAGTGATAAAAACAATAATACTCTTGTGCAGAATTGTATTGCAATAAAATCATTAGTCAGTTGAATTTATTTATCTCTGAATCTCTAAAATTGAAAGGGAAACTTTCCTTGTGTTTTTATTAAAGACAAAGTAAGCTAAGAGATATTGGCATTATTTTGGGATTGCCTATAACCAGAAAAAGGGACAAAAACACTGTGTTGGGAAGAGAGTTACTGTATTTCTTGAGTTGTTAATTTGTCACAAAAACAGATTTGTCCCTATAATTGGTTAATTATCTCTGAATAAATATAATGTTATTTTAAAAGTTTAGGATCGAATTTGTTTGAAAAACACTCTGGATAGACTCCATAAATTCATATCAGCTTGTAAGGTATTTTCTGGAGAAGTTTACTTAGTGGTTCAAAGCTTTTATTTTATTGTGTGCTTTTTTTTTAAAACTGTTTTAGAAAAACCACTTTTCTTTTTCACATTGGTCAGTGTGTTTCTGTAGCCTGCCAAGAATTCACCAAAAGGACCTAATATTGTAAATTTTAATATGATGTTTTGGGTTTTTAAAGCATTTTTACCTGTATGTGAAACACTAGTTCCTAGGGACATTAAGATATTACTGGAAAAGGGGGCTGTGGTCAAGAAAATTTGGAAAATATTGGATTAAAAACTTTTTTTCAACAAATGTATTTACTGCTGAATGTTTAAATGCCTCTAATATACTAATACGTCTCTAGAAGAGGAATATGTGTCCTTCCCAAACTTACTTGACATTAGACTCCTTTTTTCCTCAGGACACCTTGAGGATTAGTGTTTTTGAGAATATATTTTGATAAAGCCTTCATTAGAGAAGAGTGAATTCTCATTCACTCTCTCCTAAGCGGATATATCCTGTATGTGTGATATCCATCCATCTATTTATCTATCTACCTATCTTTCTAATACATAACTATACATTGGGTATATATATAATATCGTGTATACAATATGTGATATATATATTGCATATGTATATATTATAAAATATTTTATATATTATAAAATAGTATACATCTAACCTTATTTTGCTAACTTTGAGTCTGAGTCCTAACTTATTTTTATTTTTGGCTGCGTTGGGTCTTCGTTGCTGCGCACAGACTTTCTCTAGTTGTGGCGAGCGGGGGCTACTCTTCATTGTGGTGCGCGATCTTCTCATTGCACTGGCTTCTCTTGTTGCGGAGCACGGGCTCTAGGCGTGTGGGCCTCAGTAGTTATGGCACGCAGGCTCAGTAGTTGTGGCTCTCGGGCTCTAGAGCGCAGGCTCAGTAGTTGTGGCACACAGGCTTAGTTGCTCAGCTGCATATGGGATCTTCCCGGGCCAGGGATAAAATCCGTGTCCCCTGCATTGGCAGGTGGATTCTTAACCACTGCGCCACGAGGGAAGTCCCTAACTTCTTTTGAAAATTTTTATTTCAGATGGAGAACAAAGCAAAACCTCGATTATTGTTTTCTAATGATGTATGCTCAGGAAAAGGGCACATATTACATCCAGGTAAGTGTGTGTTTGTTTTTTTTTCCACACTTTTAAAGAAAAAGTAATATGAAGGGTATATTTTCATTAAAACGAAGTTTTGAAAGCAAAACCTCTAAAATACATAAGATCATAACAGTATGCCAGAGCAGAAGGGTTGATCACATCACTGAGAACGTGGGCTCTGCAGTTCCACTTGCTGGTTTAGCTCATAATTATTTTGGTGGTCTTATGGTAAATAGTTGTTTTGTGCACTTCAATACATTTTCATTTGTACTGAAGATAATAAAGCTGACATTTAGTTCTAATGGTGCAACTTTTAGTAGCATGGCTAAAACAGTAAGTCCATCATGATAGGGTTTTAAGTTAGCCAGGTAGGCAACAACTTAAATAATTCTAGGAAGCTCTTATTTCTTTCAAACCTCATTCTCCATTTAATACTTGAGCTTAAATTTCACCACTGGAATTTCACTTCTTTAACCAAACGTCTTTATCCCTTGTTCAAAATGCAAATACCCCTGAGAGGTATATGGCACACGAAGCCTGTCAGTTTTTTTTTTTCCAGTATAAAAAGTTTATTAGATCCTTTCCTGGGTGGATGTTTGGATGAGAGTGGCAAGAAGCAGCCCTGGTCCCTGAACAGGAAGGACATGATTAAGCAGCTGTTGGCAGGGGCTGGGGAGGGAAAGAACGAAGAAAAGAGGCTGCACATGGGAAGGAAGGGGGACTTCTTGTTTTTTTTTTTTTTTTTGCGGTCGGCGGG